ATTATTAAATTTCTTTCTATCAAATAAATGATACAAAATCTTTCTTCCATAATGTTTTTATCTGCATGTATAAGTAACATAAATTAAACTTTTTGCAATCTTGTGTTACTAAAAGAAAAAATATTTAGATAGAAACGAAAGAAACATTGGATACTTGGTATGACCTCCTTTGCATTTAATAAGCATTCTTTGAAGCAAATATTTGTACAGTTTTTGTATAATTTTGAACATTGTATTCGTATGTATATGTACTAATATAGAATATATTAATATATTATATATATATATTTTTTTTATTTGTATGTTCATACCAGTATATAACATATTGTGAATATTTATTTCTTTTTGTGAACTGTTTGAACTCAATGATTTCTTATTATAAAAAAAAATAATTTAATACTATATTTTATTCTGGCTAACAAAAAAAAAATACTAAATACTAAATTATTATGTCAAACGTATTGATTTTCAGCAAAATAATATATCTACATCTTGTAAAGATTTGGGTAGAGACCTATTTTTTCTTATTTTATTTTAGTAATAGAATTTCACAATTTTCAACACTAATAGTTGTCCATATAAAGATGGTGTATAGAAGCGCCATTGTACTTTGTATCGTCCCAATTAATTTTAACCCCTGAGCAGTAACTTTTAAAATTACATATTAGTTCGTGATACTTTCACTAGCATTCGCATTAGAATTCTGTAATTTATAACTTTCGACGCATTGTAGAACTCTAAGAAACAATCTTCTCTAAGGTATTTACCTTCGTCGAAAACTGTTTCTTGGTTAGGTTTGTAACATTTATAAGTTTTGGAAAAAAAAGAGTCTATATTTTACTTTATCTATAAAAATAGTCTATATTTTACTCATAAATTAATTACTTATATTTTTACTTATAAAAATAGTTTATATTTTATTTTATATATCTATCAGTTACACGTCACAGAGATCTCATTTCGATCAACGATGTGTTAAAAACATATTAATCCTCCGCGTGCAATGTGTTTGCTTAGAACAGAAATCGAAAGGAATTGAGCGTTGGTAAAGTAAAAAACTTGAAGAGGGGCGGAAAAGAAATTTCGCAGAGGTAAAGAGGAATTTGCAATCGGCTTCGTTTCGCGAGGATTCGTGACATTTGGCAATGCATCGTAAAACATATATAAAAATATCGCCGTGGACTTTGGAAAATTCTCAAGGAGAGCGTTCTTATAGGGATACAGGCATTTTGCGTGCAGAAGATTGCGACTTCTGAGAAGAGGAACGTGACTGTTTCGTTTAAAAATTGTTCAAAAATTTCGCGTGGCGCATTTGCATACGTACCGACGTATGGTACGTCGTTGATACGCCGAACAATTATAACCTCAACCAAGAAAGTTCGAACCGTGTAACGCGGACAGAATTTTGCGTGTAATAACAGGCAGTGGACGTTCGATCGAGTGGAACTTCGATAATAATTAGCAGCACAAAATGAAACGTTTCGCCCCGAATGGACGAGGATCTAAATCGCGAAAGTGTGCAGCGACAAATGAGAAACAACACGAGAGACGACAGTCTAGCGTCCCCACGCTCCACAGGGGGCAATTTGAGAATGAGTTATTAACAATGAATTTTTTTCATTTCACTTTAAGACGCAAATTACTCTGTAAATTCTATTCTGAATTTATTAGGCTTTGTCTTATTCTATAACAATTTAAATAATCGAAGTATTACAAAAAAAGACCTCCATTGAAGTTATTTTACATTTGTGCTTTTCAGTTCCCTTTTATTTCCCACGTTTAAGACTTTATTCGCTGATTATCATATCACTTCATTTTATTATTATTTTTTAACAATTTCTTGGCCTTGACAGGCTTCCTGCATGTCAAAAGTTCACTTCAGTGGATTCACAAGAGTGGATTTTAGAGATGCTAGGTGAGAGAATGGCCAAGAAAAAGTTGAGAACCACTGGTCTAATACTATCAAGAGGATCACCAATAATGGCAATAAAACGAGACGTTTCGATAACGCTGGTAATTGAAGTTTGCTGATAACTGAAGTCGAAACGACGCGCATGTTGTTCAACACGTTCTAGTTTCAACACATGCTCGATATCTTTTTTTTCCAACAATCCAAACAGGCAGTTTGCATTTCTTCTAGCAAGGAACACCGGGGTTCTTATCGGCCCTGGCGGCCTAGGATGATTAGCCGCATGAAGCTTTAAGAATTGTAGAATGCACGATACGAGTACAAGATACAGCGGGAGGGGGCGAGGGGGTGGGGCTGTCGCGAAGGTCAAACGCGAAACAAGCGATAATGTTAATGCCGCGCGTTCGATCGTCGCTCTTCTTTGCATAAAAATTTCCAACTGCAAAATCGTTCGTCGAACATGGTTCGATTCGCTTTTAAAACTGTCTAATTTTGAGAATTTATAATAGACGATCGTATAATATTTGCTCGATGCGAAGAAGTACGGTGTAGACGCCATTTTTCGGGGAAAAAGATTCTTTTCGTAAAAAATTTCGCACGGATCGAAAATACGCCTAAAATACTATTAATAGCGTGGAACAATCTTCACCACTAGCGATTACTGCCTGGACGAAATATGCTTTCCAGCAACTTTTCAGCGTTACGAGACGAGTAAAGGCACAGATACAAATGCTTTACTAACCATAAAAAAAACGAGGGGTCGATCACTAGGTCCATCTGATCGGTTAACGTCGACAACCAAAAAGTAATTAATAAGCTATCGATCGATAACCGTTGACCACCGACAAGTCGATTAATCGGCTAGCGGTCGATAACATGAAAAAGCCGATAAATAAGTTTCCAGTAGATAAAGAAACTTAAAAAAACACGGATTAATTTAATAAAGATATAAATTACCGTCGTGATGCGAAATTTGTACTTTATCATTCATTGTTGCAACATTGAGTTTTTGAAAACTTCATTACAAAATGTCAATACACGATTTTACAACAAATTTTCAAAAAATTCTTCGTTTTACAATGATGCTTCCAAATGGCTTGAATGGAAAGTTCGCTGTGGTTCGTATACATCCCACGCGGCACGGAACGTGTCGATCAAATGCGTAATAATATTTTAAGTGTACTTTCGATCTGTGTCGAAAATTTCTTTCAGAGAAATGACGTCCACGTTTTTATTAAACACGCTGTACCTCTTGATATTCGCGTTTATTTAACGATATCAAATCGTGAAATCGATTTGTTGTAGCGCAGTGGTCATCTTTATAATATTCCCTCCACAGAGTGGAATAGTCGATACTTCAGGTAGGGTTTGCGTGTTCGCCGCGGAAGGCGGCTGACCAGATTCGTTCCTCAACCACTTAAGTAATCGAGCGGCCGAGCGGCTCGTATATCACAGTAAGCGTGAATCAGCAGGATTCGGTGAATACTGAATCTCAGTATTTTCCCCTTTCGACTATTCGAAACTCATTTTGTGCTCGGAATTCAAACGGGAAAAGAAGGAAGAAAAAAAAGAAGAAAGAAAGAGAGGAAAGACGTTGCTGAAAAAGTTGAAAAGCTAAAACGTTTTTTTTTCTCTCTCTCTCTCTCTAATCTAGAATCTTTTTTTTTATCTCGTGCTATTAATCATGAATTCAAAGAGAAATTTAAAAAAAAGTAACTGGTGTAACGTTTTCTTTCATTTCTCTCGCCTAATTACACTGTTCTTAACGTTTAACATTTTTTTCTCGTTCGGATCTGATATTTCACGAAATCGTTGCGAAAATGAATATCAAACGGAGGTTAAGTTGTGCTTTGCTGTCACGCTTGAAAAGCTGGGGGCCTACGGGAACCAAGCAGGTCAACGAGTTTCGTGTCGCGGAAGTACCGATATCCGATTAGAGAGCGAGCCATTAGAGAAAGAGAAAAGTTTTTCTTCTAGTCCACCAGGGAATAAAGAAACGCGTCTCGATGATTTCACGCGATATCCAAAAGTTTTTTGCGGCCGGTCAGGCGAACCCGTGTTTTCTTTCGTAATATCGACTTTGCAATAAAACTGAAAGTGCCATTGCTCTCAAAACTAGTCCCTGATCGTTCCCTTTTTT